GTTCAAATCCCCACTTGGCCATGGAAAATCAATAGGGGTGTGGAACTAGTAAAACCACTCCTTAAATATCTCAGTTACCTTGAAAGCCCTATAAGAGTTGCTATAAATCAGTTCTGACTTAATGGCACATAACTAATTAACTACCATACTGCACTTTGGATTTTCAGGTTCTATATTTTCCAGTCCAGTTGACATCTTATACTCTGCTGGCTTGTTATTTTCAGGGTACCCACTCAATATGACAAATTTATCCTTAATGTCAAAGATCAAATAACTGTTACTATCCATCAGTAATTGCTATTACTGTTTTTTAAAAATACCTGCTACCTTGTTGACTCTTATACACAGTAAAGCATTAATGGACTTCTCTTGGTTTTAGAGCCTGTACATTTTGGACTGCCCTTTTTACTTTGGATCCCATAGCTCTGCTTCAGATATTCTTGTATGTTCTCGGTCATTTTTATTTTTCCATTTCTGTCCCTTTTCAGGTAGCTCTAATATTTTCTTGGATAATTTTTCTCTTTTCCACCCACATTTCTAAAATTGTTGTTGATCCCATCTATTTATTTATTCATTTGATTTATATACTGCTCCTTTAGTGCAAACACTACTCTACTCATGTCTCTGTCAGTTTAGAGAACATTGTTAGTGTTACATGGTGAAAAGTGGTGAGTGACCCTATGAATGAGCGATCTCCAGAATGTTCTGTCCTCAGCTGCCCAGCTCAACTCCTGTACGCTCAAGTCTGTTGCTTCCTTTAGGGAGTCAGCCCATCTTGTATTTGGTCTTCCTCTCTTCCTGCTGCCTCCAACCTTTCCCAGCATTACTGTCTTTCCCAGAGAATTCTGCCTTCTCGTGATGTGCTCAAAGCAGGACAGTCTCAGTTTCAATATTTTTGCCTCCGGAGATAGTTCAGGCTTGAATCGATCCACTTATTTGTCTTTGTAGAAGTCCAGGGTATCTTCAAAGCTCTCCTCCAGCACCACATTTCAAATGAATCATTTTTCCCTCTCAGCTTTCTTAACTGTATAGCATTCACACCCATACATGATGATGGGAAATACAAGAGTGTGGATGATGTCCAGAGACAAATCTTTACACCTGATGATCTTTTCTAATTCCTTTATTGCTGCCTTCCTAGTCTCAATTTTCTTGGCTGTTGTCTCCATTTGGATTGATGTCTCAATTTTCTTCAGATTTCTTGGCTGTTGTCTCCATTTGGATTGATGATTAGATCAAAGTATACAAAATCTCTGTTTCAGTTCCTTCACTGTCAATGCTAAAGTGGTGCAGTTTTTCTTGGCTCATGATTTTTGTCTTTTTAATGTCCAGCTGCACTCCTGCTTCGTCACTTTCTTTTTTCACTTTCTTTAACAGTCCTTTCAAGTTATTGCTGCTTTCTGCCGGTGATCATGGTGTAGTAGTGACAAGGTGGAAGTATTTCTCTCCCTCCTCCATCCCCAGATCACCCAATCTCTACAATCCAATGGAAAGTATTCCTTGCTATACTCAATCATATAAGAAAATACAGAGGTTTTTAAATGATTACCTTTTTTGTACTATAAGATCCAGAATCCTCTATCTTGTTCTAGGAAAGCAGTAGTAATATCTCCTAAAGGTAAAGGTTCCCCTTGACATTAAGTCCAGTCATGTCCGACTCTAGGGGGTGGTCCTCACCCCCGTCTCCAAGCCATAGAGCTAGCGTTTATCCGTAGACAGTTTCCGTGGTCGTGTGGCCAGCACGACTAGACACGGAACGCCATTACCTTCCCATCATGGTGGTACCTATTTATCTACTCGCATTTTTACATGCTTTCGAACTGCTAGGTTGGCAGGATCTGGGAGAAGCGATGGGAGTTCACCCTGTGGCGTGGATTCAATCTTACGACTGCTGGTCTTCTGATCCTGCAGCATAGAGGCTTCTGCAATTTTACCCACAGCACCACCACATCCCACAATATCTCCTAGCTAAGGGCTAAACACAACGGTTCGTCCCAACAAAATAAATCCGTGAAATCAGTGGGCCTTACATAAGTATTGCCTTAACAAGCCCCATTCATTCAGTGGTATAGGAATTTTTAAGATCCTAATTCTGTTCACAGAAACCAGGAGTAAAACAATAATGAACCTTGTGGCTCTGTGATGGGACCTTGATTCAAGTTTACTTATCAACAACACAACAAGCTGATTGGATGGATGAACACCCGAGGAGAGCCAATCAAGATTCACCAGGAGGGGCTATAAAAACAAAAGAAGAGGTGACCAGAGGAGCAGCCAGAGATGGGCAGTTAGAGGAGAGGGGTTAGAAAAGAGCAGGGGAGAGAAAGTGGCAAAGGGAGGAAGCAGAGATGCTGCTCCGTTTTAGAGAGAGGGTCAAAGAACTGGGAGAAGTTTGTGAAATTGTAACTATAGACAGGAGGCAAAGGTTTCCAGGAAGATGTAGAATGCAATAACTTTGTAACAAGGAAAGGCAACAGTCTAGCGTGGGAAAGCTTATTTCTTTTATTATCTTCTATAACGTTAAATTTAAAAATGTGCCTTGTAACCATTAAGCTTTTTAAATAAAGAACTCATTTTTTCTTGTTTCCATTTAAAACTGCTTCAGCACAATTAATCTGGGGATTAAGAAGAGAGGCCCAGGGGAAAAAGAAGAGGCAAGTCAAAAACGTGATTAACCGGGTATGTATGGCCAGATCTATACTTCAAGTTAGAAGGGACAGACAGAACTCAGCATATGGTAATTGCATTTTGCTAATCACAAATCACCATCCAGGAGCTCATGACTATTCTTTTAGCCCCACTGCACTCAAAACTGCACACACTCTTTCTTTCACACTTACAGAGTAGACACCATTCTTTAAACGTTTGTTTCAAGTATCTTAGCAACCTTTTCAGTGTTAAGCCAACATACAAATGCCTTTGTAGGAGGGTGCCTGCAGTTCACAATGTCAATGCTAATTAATGTTTTTGTGGAACTCCAAAAGGTGAAAATGACAACAGACACATAAAAGAAAAAGGACAAAGTGTAGCACCAAAGAGATGAGAAGAATTTTTTAAAAAATCACAGAGCACAGTTTTATACTAAATCACAGAGCACAGTTTTATACTTGTCGAAATTGGCCATTCTGAGCCTTAAGATGAATTACTGCAGCACTCATTCTTATGGCCATGCTAGAACTTCAAAAAGAGTTGAAGAAGGTGTCATTCAGATGTGCATGTTAAAGTTTTTCCACCACAATTAGTTTACTACCTTGCCAACAAAGAGAAAATAATAAAATGACCAAAACCTGACAAAATTCTATGCATGTCAAATAGGTTTTTAACGAATTAAATGGATAACAGTCTTCTGCTGTGCACAGAGAAGCAGCAATTCTTCTAGTTCAGTCGAAAAAGCTCAGCACAGCTAGCACAACCTAGTTAAGATAAACAAGGACCCTAAGCACGTATAGTAACTTTCACAACTCCGAGGATATTAGGAGGAACTTCTTAGTGGTAAAGGCACTTCAGCAATGGAATCATCTCCCTAGACCAGTGATGGGTTTTCCCTTGCTGGAGATCTTCCATCAAAAATGGGACGGCCATCTCTTGAAGATGCCCTAGCTTTTCAGGACTACAGTCCCAGGATCACCCAGCCAGCAAGGCCATTTCCCAACCTCTGACCAAGATACACTGCTAACCAGAGACACGGCGGCACCTCCTATCCGTGTACAGAAGTCACCCAGGTTAGTAACTGAATTACACTTCTGCCTTGAATTGCATGAGTCCAAGCAACATGGTTTTGATTATACACAGATTATTGTCAGTCAGTCAGTCAGTTAACCGACCGACCAACCGACCGACCGACCAACCAACCAACCAACCGACCAACCAACCAACCAACCAACCCTGTGCTGCTATTCATCTCCAGGAAGTGGCTTGAGAAAGGTGGCCCTTGGACTTAACAAGGCCCCTGTTATTGGCGGCTCAGTGGCTCCCAGTCCAATGGGCAGTGGCTTGCCTAGTTCCCTCTCCTGGTGTAGCGGCTCAACATGGTGACCAGAGAGGATGCTGGGACATACCAGGAGACTGACATGGGTCGGGGGGGGGACATGTGTGTGTGCGTATGTGAATCAACTGTTAATGCTTTGTAGTTATGTTTGGGGGCATAAGAATTTTACACAAATTTTGAACTATATGGGGGTCCAACACCCCTAACCCCAGTACTGTTGAAGGGAGATGATGTGTATATTTCACCCCAGGTAGAGGACAGCATCCTTCACCATGACACCTGAAGGCCGTGGGCCAGTCTAGCAGGCACAAAGCAGGCCACAGGGCATGGACCATCTCCAGCACCTGGCCATTGTCCTTCACCTCACAACAGCTGCCAGCCTCACCTGGGACCTCCCCAGATTTTATTTACTGGCAGGACTGGCCACACTGAGAGGTCACAAGGCCACTACGAGTCAGGGAAGGAACCGCTTGTTTGAGCTGCTAGAGCTTCCTCTATTTAGAGTTTCGATACTCACTGCTTTTTTTCCACTTCCGTCTTCCTTCCTTCTCCATCTCTTCCCTCTCTTCTCCTACCGAACAGCTCAGTATCCCATTCTTTTCCCAACCCTTGTTTATTTTCTCGTTAGAGCCTCACCACTTTCCCTCTCTTCCAGACTGGTTCACATGCTCAAACATGAGACCTGGGCATTTTCCCCCCAGCCACCTCTTCACCAAAAAGGGCCATGGGCCAAATGGAGGTTGCAGGGGAGGAGAGAGAGTGAGTGCGCCTTTACCCCAATTAAGCCCCTTCCACCTCTCAGCTTTTGTGCCGTGGGAGAAATCAGGAGAAGACCAACCTCATCACCTCCTTCCCCCCCCCAACCAGATCTGAAATCATGAGACAGACTTCTCAGCATCTTCATGGATATTTATAGCACCTGCTACTTAAAATTTATGTAAGGGGCTTTCCCGAGGGCCTCCACAGTCACACAGATTCAACATCAAACAAAATAGTTACAGACGACTCTTACCCGATAACCTCTCCAAAATGACTGAATTATGTTGCCTGCTTCTTCCTCTGAGAGCAGCAGAGAGAGAGCAATGGGGGGCCTAGGACTGAAGCAGATAGTCTTATTAATCAGACATCATTTCAGATAACATTTAAAAAGGTACATAAACGGGTAAATGTGCACAGTTTCTCTGAATTTGTATGTACGAGTTGTATGCTGAGATAGACCTCCCCAGTGTGGCACTCTCTCAGTGTGTTATAATACAATTCCTTGGCCATGCCACTAGGGAAAGATGGGAGCCCACCATGTTTGGAGGGGACCAGATTTGGGGAAGCTGTAGTAGAGTGGTTAACATGTGGAAACAAACACTTAAAATTCTCCCCTGCTCTCTCACACATAGGCACAAACCTAGGTCCACTGGCAAAGCCATGTTATTAACAGAGTAATGGGTCCTTTGTAAGAAGTGCTCTGGTCATTGAAACACTCTCCAAGGAGCCAGTTTGGGATACGTACATTTTTATCACCAAGAAAACACAAGAATTTTAATAAATTGCAGCTATCAAGTGGAAACTGAAAAGTTCAGGATCGAAAGAGGATATTTATTTTGGGGGGGAAGGAACCTTGTCTTAAAGAGTTGTTGCTAGTTGTAGCCCAGTGGTTCCCCGCCTTGGTTTTCCAGATGTTCTTGGACTAAAATTCCCAGAAGTCTTCACACTAGCTGTGCTGGGCAGGATCTCTGGAAGCTGTAGTCCAAGAACATCCGGGAACTCATTTCCTACCCTTGGCTCTCTAGACGTTGTTGTACTTCAGCTCTCATCCATCCAAGTCAACATGATCAATGGTTAGGGCTTCGGGGAACTGTAGCCCAATAACATCTTGACACTCCAATCACTAGACTCATTGGTGTTGAAAGTACTGAGCAAGAGGAACCAATGCTTGGTTTAAGGCAACCTTTTCTCTGTTCCTAAAGACTCTTGGCAATATTAATAATTAACTCATGTAGCAATGCTAAGATGTAAAGGAGGAGTACCGTATTTTTCCGTGTATAAGACGCCCCCAACTTTTCTAACCCAAAAGTAAGAAATCTAAGTGGGACTTAGCAAGTGTACGGGGTAAGGGATCAAAGCCCTCCAGGATCTCTTTGATCCCTGCTTTCCCTTCCACTTGTTTTTGTTCTCGTCTCAGCTTACTTCTGTGTATAAGACGACCCTCAATTTTTATTCTAAAGATTTTAGACAAAAGTATAGTCTTATACATGGAAAAAATAAGGTACCATTATCAGGTCTTTTTGACTGGCACAGCACCACAAGGCTGAAGCTTCACTTCCCAGTCTAAAGCACATAGATCTTCAAAGCTGCTATTTGTCTCACTGGGAAAAGAGTTGGCCTGCATCCAGCAAGAGAACTATGACGGAAGCCCACTTGTTCTCTGGTACCTATTTTCCCAAAGTGTAGAAAGGCAAGGTGAGCTGATCACCTCCCGTCCTCTGAAGCAATGGAAGATGCTCTCTTAATGTTGAACTTCCTGCAGGCAGTCCAACTGTCTTTTACGTTGGGCAAATCCTGCCTTCTGGCTCAGGTAACAAAAAGATTTGGGGCTAGTCCTGCTATTTACTGTGGATGATCTACTGGCCCTACTTTATGTGGGAGTTCATTTTATTGCTCTACGGGCATTTGAGTGGGAAGTTTCAAAAACGATTTAAATCTTTTTATCGGACAGCTGTTGTTGACGATGATGGTTTTTCTCCCAATGAGACTGCTAGCTGCTCTAATTCCATGGCAGAAAGTAGTAGGACAAAATATACGATGCCAATAATTAACCAAAGGGTTTATATTCACAAGAAATCAAAAATACACATTTACTATGTTAAACATTCTGAATACAGTGGACCCTCTACTTATGGAATTAATCCATATTGGAACGGTGGCTGCAGGTCGAAAAGTCTGTAGGTCGAGTCTCCATTGACCTACCATGCATTGAAAACCAATTAATTCCATAACCCAGCCATTTTTGTTCTATTTTGGGTTTTTTCTGGTCTGTAGGTAGATTCTCCGGCTGCAAGTTGAACCTAAATTTTGCGGCCAGAGAAGTCTGCAACTCAAAAAGTCTGTAAGTCGAGCCGTCTGTAAGTCGAGGGTCCACTGTAACTATTTTGCTTTCCAGATCTAACCACAAGAGTTGGCATTGTTGCTGTTGTTCTGCTGAAATGCCACAATTCTGCCACAATAATACACCTTCATGTGGACCTTGAAATAAGGAAACTGTTTTAACTGTGATCCATTCACTAGGCAGACCATGGTCAAAGTTCACCTCAGACATTTTGATGCCTCATTCAGAGCAACACATGGCACTACTCCCATCCTCAGATTTAAGTACTTTCTCTTCATGGCCAACCAATTAGTTTAATGTTCGAGGCAGTAAATTTCTCAAGCTCCTTTAGTCTCCCTGACAATAATTAGACATTAATAATCAATTGTTTGCTCCTGTTTGGTGGCACTTCAATTTTTGGTCTGTGGGGGCCTCTTCACCCTGACGTGTGCTAAGGCCAGCCCTGCCTGCTATGTGTTTTCAACTGATTTATCAAACGAGCAATTCTACTATTAAGATTGCCCTTTGCAATCTTGCAAAATTAGGTCCAGCCAATTTCTCTGGCTTCATTTTTAATTTATGAGGACCTGTCAGGGATCTGATCCAAGACAAAAGTGGAAAAGTCATGTATAAATCAAGTCCGGGGGGGGGGAAGGGGAAGAGGGATGTTTGGAGTGAGGACGAAGTGGCAGTCCCTGGGGAAGATCAATCATTTCAGCAGGCCAGTTTGAAGGAGCTGAAGTCATGCCAGGTCCATTTTGGTCTGCAGGAATATTAATAATTGGCTTGAGGACAAGTAAAAATAGCATATGAGCAGGAGCAATAACCCAACAACAGTGAAGCAAGGAAGGGGGAATAAGTTATTTGTGGCAGGAGACAGCTGTAACACTACAGGATGGATCGGGGCTGGCAGCCAAAGGCATACAAATGTAGAGTGTGTTTATTTCCAAACTGAATGCTCTTGACTGAATGCTGATCAACCTATAGAGCACAAAAGCTAGGCCTGGACAAGAAAGGTTCCAGAATTATTTCCAATCTCATTTCTTGTCATGTTGTGTGGTGGCTGTTTTTTTAATCCTTTTTGTTTTTAAATCACCATGTGAACACAAACGACAGATGTTGGTGGGCGAAGCTCATGTCAAAACGATCATGCTTTGCCTGTGACCAGCCAGGCTTAATCAGTATTAGCATACATTCACGCACATACTAGGCCACCCCAAGAGAAGCTTCCTTTCCACGTAACCTGCTTTCACTTGGAGAGGCCACAGGGTTTCCTTTCGAAAAGGTTTCCAGGACATCTCACAGCTATTAGTTGGCCCAGCTGAACTGTTATTTAGAGATCTATAGCTCCCTGTAACATCATGTCTTCCCTTCACCTTCTTGAAATAGGCTTCTACTCTTGATGCAGGGCTCCTCTGCGTATTATACAGTCTCTGTACTTGCATTAGTCTGAGGGGATTCGTTCTTTCATGTGTTTACCCTGTACAGTCACAGACAAGGAGCTCATGGTTTATTAAAAGACACACACCCAGGAGAAGTCTGCTGGCAAAAAGAAGATGATGGTTTTCCAGCCAAGACACTGGCTGGAAAGCCACAGGAACAGCTGCATAGTAGCGAACGGTAAAGGGCCCAACACCCGTTCTGTTAGTTCCCCATAGCTGTGTCCTAAAGTGTAGGCAGCCATCTTGATGTCCATCGCAATGCCACTGGATGGCATCTTCATCTTCACCAAGAGCAGGCCTTTCATTAAGCTAAGGTGCTGTAATTGTTCTCCGAAAGACCACAGCACCCACAAACTTCAGGGAAACAAAATTATAAAGAAATGTGAAGTCTTTGTCCTAGCAAGGCTGGGCCTTTGACAGCTTCAGCCTTTTGATGACTAAAAAGACAGGAAGTCCAGCCCCTTGCTGAAGCCAACCAGGTCTTGTCTGATCAGCCCTAAAAGGGGTGAGCCCGAGAGTAGTTCATGCACATGGCCTTAAGTTCCACAATGGAAGAAAGACAGGCTACAAACCTGACATTTCCTTGAAGTGGGTTTGGCACTGGGTAATAGCCAGGGATAGCTTTAAAACAAAGTATGTTTTAATGTCAATAAAATCTTTACTAGAGGTAGAGTAAAAGCAAACTTAATCTCCGAGTGCTCCTCCCTGTACAGCCCAAATGGTATCAAACCCACAAGAGCAAGCTACTAGGAAGCTTGTGGAGACACAAAGGTTTGCCAAAGAAGAAGGCAAAAAGACTATGTTGATGCAAGACACTGAGAAGATCCTCCTCCATAGCCCACTGAGAAAGGAGCACAGAATAATGATCGGAGGGATCCAGAAAAGGACACTGAACAAAACACCAACCACAGCAACTTTCCATTGCAATTCCAACTTACGATAACTAAATGGAGCCTGCATGTTTAGGGGCAGTATACCTCTGATTACCAGGCAGTGAAATGGATAACCGTTGAGATAGTTATCGCCATTGGGTAGCTCTCTCACGGCATCTGGCCAAACAGAGCTATATGGTTCAGTGAAGTGTAGCAATGTTGTTTCATTTCGTTTTTCTTTCTTGTGAAAAAGATTTGAGTCTTGAGTCTAGTTAATGAGTTGTGGGCTTTTTGACTTTCCTCTTTCTGAGAGCAGGTAACCCTAGCTTGGCAAATGCTACAGCATTGATCTGCACATGGATAACACCAGCGTTAATCCAGGCTAAACGTGCTGGGCAGATTTTGACATTCACTGTGTCTGACAATCTAACGCTTTAGCCCCTGCAGTGATTCTTGTTCCAGTGTATTTAGAAGCACAGTACGCTTGCTACATGCTGCATCCATCCAGAGACAGGATAGAGGCTCAGGGGTGGAAGAGAATATGTGTGTGCGTGCATGCGTGTGTGTGTGTGTGTCGTCTGGACTTTTTTAAAAAATTTTTTTTCTTGCATGGACCTCAACGCAGGAAGTAATCTCCTCCTCTGGTTATTTCTAGTCTAGCAGGAGACGGGAGAATCTGACAAGCAGCATTTTATGGACATAAA